CCTGGGGGGATATTTTCGGCGGTAGCGGTAGTCGCCGGAAAATCGCAAATTAGGTTGCCGGAAGTGCGCAATTAAAAAGGCATATACATTTTTTTTTCTGACAGTTAGCTAGTGTGATAAAAAAAAAAAGTAGGGGCCTCAGGGCGTCATCAAGTGTGAATCCAGCCCTGGCAACATGTATTTTAAATGGATCTTGGGGCTTTGAATTTATTTAAACAGTTCCCTCGCATAAGCTATGGAGATCCGATGTCCAGGTACCTTAGAGTGGCTGTTGCATCGGAGGACTGAGCACTCATGGGAATGCCTAATGTGCAGTTACATCGACTGTGATAACAGTACAGTCCTTTAGACAGATTGGGAAAAAAAGAAAGAGCAACAACAGTCACCTGTACGCCCAGACAGGAGGCACAATCATTGATGTCTAATGTCCACTTAATCACATGAAAACTCAAATGTCCTGTGTCCGTTTTTGACTGGACCAACCTGGATACTTAGGTCATTGCACAGAGAGAGAAAATGTGCTTCAAAGGACGATTCAAACGCGCAGCCATCGTGCCTTGTAGTCAGCGTTCTATCCAACGCAACTCACCATTATTGAAATAATATTGCGAAATTTCGAAATATCGAACTAGCGAATGTTCGCGAACAAGTAATAATAATGACCATATACATAACAGCAACAAATCAAAGTTGTTGATAAATGTTCTCTGACAACATCCCTGATTATCTAAAACGACAACATTTTTGTCAGAAAAAGCAGGAATGTTTACAAATGTGTACGAACAAATACCTATTTTATCAAACACTTAAGTGCCTACAAAACCTTTGGCAATATTAATCATAGCGTTGTTAAAGAGAAATCCAGCTCTTTATCCTGTATACAGCAATGTCGAAACCGCCCGTCAGCAACTCGGGAAACCAGGAACAGTTTTTTCATCTTGTATTTTCAGCAGCTTAATTAATATCTGAAAGTCGGACAGAGTTTGGTTGGCGGGTTGGTAATGTTGGTAATTTCAATGAAGATTTCTTGGATCAATCTTCATTTGCTCTCAATTACCTCAATAATCAACTAGAAATTTCTGGAAATCTCCAGTGAGAGTTGTGGCACGGCCTGAGTAATGTTTCCTAATATGACGACGGCGAATTTATTTTGAGACCAAAAATATACACAGAGGTTTCCTAATTCAGTAAACTTTGTGGTAAATAAATATAGGGCACAGGATTTTGTTATTTGGGCAATTTTATCCCTGGAGAAAATTATCCTAGATACGAGAAGCTTCCAGAAATGCTGTTTGAAAAACAATAATAATATTTAAAAAAACAATGTTGCCGTTTTTGTCCGTGACATTGCTCAGGTTCAAGGCTGTGTTATACTGAAGGGTATAAAAGAGATGGTTTTGCAGTTCTTGGAATATTCGATCGCTTCTTGTGCAACTGTCCACGTTCTTTAGCTCTATCTTAATTCAGTTCGCGTCGCCTCGTAAAGTTATCATAGTATCATCTCTTTTTAAATTTACTGTATTTAGATATAAAAGTACTATATAGTTAGTTTATAATTCCGGTCTTATAAAGTCGTTTTTTTTTTAATTGCATCTAGCTACATTGACGTTGTAAAATTCTTTAAAAAAAAAAAAAAAATTTATTTTCGTTCTTTAAAATTTTTCTAAAATTGAAAACTGGAATCGGGATCAAAAGAGGTATTTTTTTTTTTTTTTAAATAAAGTTATTTTTGTTAGGAATTAGATAGCAGCGGTCAAATATGCTTTGCAAATGACATAGTCGGTATTTGTGGATTAACACTGTAGCTATCAACCCAGTTTCATGATTCCGACATAACACCGGGTTCGAGGTCAAATGCAGCCGATTAAGCTAGAGACTGCTTTGCGTTGATTTGGACAACTGTGTAGCGTCGGACCGTTTGGCAACCCCTGAACATAGATTTATTTAATAAATCCGCAAAAAGCCGACAAATACTCAGCAGTATGCAAATTAGCCTGTTGAGCATTGTTCTTCAAACTTGTGTGCACCTGCGAACCACGAAAATATGAGACATATTTTTTCGGGCCGGCTTGGGGGGGGGGGGGGGGGGGGCGGCATTTTATACATTACGTAATAATTGGGTAGAATTTTTCGACAAACCGCGAGGACATTTTCGCGGACCGGATCAAGTCCACGGGCCACATGTTGAAGAACATAGCTTTACAGGATATGTAACTCTAATCTCGTTAATATCATATGTAGTTATTTCCCCTTCGATAATAAACTGTTAGGGCACATTGAATGTTTCCTGAACAGATTTGCATACAGAAACTGCCTCTCTACGAGAGCCGAAGGACATTTAAAAAAATTAAAAGATTTAGAATTCAAGTCGACCCTACCTTAAATGGGTACCAGCTAGTCCTGGGAAGTAGAGGCGGCCGGCGGGATGCTGACCACATTGTCCACCTATTGGCGATTAGTCTATAAAATATAGGTTTAGCCCTATAAGCCCTATACACATAAAGGCATGGAAAGGGGTGCTTTTACTACATCTTTACACGTCTTTGCGAAGATCATACGAGAAGCCACGAGTAACTCTAACTAGCCATGCATGTCGTAGAAGCCATAAGTAGTAACACTGTAACTTGCTGTGCATATTGTAATAGACAGTTAAAGAAGATGGTTGTAAGACTAGCTGTCGCTGGCGAACTTTGCCAGCGTAAAACTGCCAGTGCCATTGTGTGAGCTTATTGAGAGCCTGTGCTCCATTGGGAGCTTAGAGGCAGCAGGTGACTGTACGCACGTGAGCGGGTTGGTTCTTTGTTGAATTGCAAACATTAGAGACGAGCTCCGAAGTTCCGACGTCTTTGCTTAGATCTGCACCTGTTGTCTTTGAGATGTTTAGGGTCAATGTCTTTTATGATCAGCCTCTGATCTGTTTCTTTCCACGAATTCCTGCCTGCTGTCCGAGTTCTCATATTGCTTCCACCAGGTTACTTACATCTTCTAGCTGTTGTCTCAGTTCTCATATTGCTTCCACCAAGTTATTTACATCTTCTACCTGTTGCCCCAGTTCTCATATTGCTTCCACCAAGTTATTTACATCTTCTAGCTGTTGCCCCAGTTCTCATATTGCTTCCACCAGGTTACTTACATCTTCTAGCTGTTGTCTCAGTTCTCATATTGCTTCCACCAAGTTATTTACATCTTCTACCTGTTGCCCCAGTTCTCATATTGCTTCCACCAGCTTACTTACATCTTCTAGCTGTTGTCTCAGTTCTCATATTGCTTCCACCAAGTTATTTACATCTTCTACCTGTTGTCCCAGTTCTCATATTGCTTCCACCAGCTTACTTACATCTTCTAGCTGTTGTCTCAGTTCTCATATTGCTTCCACCAGCTTACTTACATCTTCTAGCTGTTGTCTCAGTTCTCATATTGCTTCCACCAGCTTACTTACATCTTCTAGCTGTTGTCTCAGTTCTCATATTGCTTCCACCAGCTTACTTACATCTTCTAGCTGTTGTCTCAGTTCTCATATTGCTTCCACCAGCTTACTTACATCTTCTACCTGTTGTCCCAGTTCTCATATTGCTTCCACCAGGTTACTTACATCTTCTAGCTGTTGTCTCAGTTCTCATATTGCTTCCACCAGCTTACTTACATCTTCTAGCTGTTGTCTCAGTTCTCATATTGCTTCCACCAGCTTACTTACATCTTCTACCTGTTGTCCCAGTTCTCATATTGCTTCCACCAGGTTACTTACATCTTCTAGCTGTTGTCTCAGTTCTCATATTGCTTCCACCAGCTTACTTACATCTTCTACCAGTTGTCCCAGTTCTCATATTGCTTCCACCAGGTTACTTACATCTTCTAGCTGTTGTCTCAGTTCTCATATTGCTTCCACCAGGTTACTTACATCTTCTAGCTGTTGTCTCAGTTCTCATATTGCTTCCACCAGGTTACTTATATCTGCTAGCTGTTGTCTCAGTTCTCATATTGCTTCCACCAGGTTACTTACATATTCTAGCTGTTGTCTCAGTTCTCATATTGCTTCCACCAGGTTACTTACATCTTCTAGCTGTTGTCTCAGTTCTCATATTGCTTCCACCAGGTTACTTACATCTCCTACCTCTTGTCTCAGTTCGCAGGTTATTTACATCTCTTGCCACTTTTATCAGTTCCCCCGTTACTTACATCTCCTGCCACTTTTCTCAGTTTCTCCCGTTACTTACATCTCCTGCCACTTTTATCAGTTTCCCCGTTGCTTACATCTCCTGCCACTTTTCTCAGTTCCCCCGTTACTTACATATCCTGCCATTTTTCTCAGTTCCCCCGTTACTTACATCTCCTGCCATTTTTCTCAGTCCCCCCGTTACTTACATCTCCTGCTACTTTTCTCAGTTCCCCCGTTACTTACATCTCCTGCCACTTTTCTCAGTTCCCCCGTTACTTACATATCCTGCCACTTTTCTCAGTTCCCCCGTTACTTACATCTCCTGCCAGTTTTCTCAGTTCCCCGTTACTTACATCTCCTGCCACTTTTCCCAGTTCCCCCGTTACTTACATCTCCTGCCACTTTTCTCAGTTCCCCGTTACTTACATCTCCTGCCACTTTTCTCAGTTCCCCCGTTACTTACATCTCCCGCTTGTATTCTGGGTCCACTGTTTACTAAGATCTGCCTGTTTCTCGCCCCCACTCATCCAGTTCTTAGAGTAAGTACCTCTCCTATCTGGTTTACTGTCGGTGCCCAGGATCAAACTCTATATGCCAACACGGTGCCCAGGAGCAAACTCTATATGCCAACACGGTGCCCAGGAGCAAACTCTATATGCCAACAGCTCCCTCATGTGATCTACGAGAGACCACTTGGATACTTGAAAAGTTTGTCATGCCAAACCAGGAACAACAACCCGCTTAAACACACAGACGGGTATAGATGCCTCAGAAATACAAACCTTTCTTGGTTACAGTATCTTAACGTTGTTTCTTATGAAATACTTGCTTTGTTTCGTTGCAGACAATGAGCATTGGTGACAGTAATAACAAAACAATGGGAAAGCGTGCTGGGAAACGACCCGGAAGGAAACCATCAAAGATCGACGAGCGCGCCAAACTTGAGCGGAGCCGCCAAAGCGCGCGTGAGTGCCGCGCCCGGAAGAAGCTGCGATACCAGTATTTAGAGGAACTGGTTTCCAACAGAGAAAAGGCCGTCTTCGCACTCAGGGATGAGCTAGAGCTGGTAGGTATTTTTTCTTCTTCTTTTTTAAATCTTTGCTGTCTTTAACAGTTTAGTTTTAACACTAAATTATTCAGTCAAAACATCAACTTATTAACTCAGTCACAATATATATTTGGTAAACAGATACCTAGTCTGTAAAGTGTTAGTAACATCAAATTTAAAGGGACACGAAAACTAGCTACAATCTTCTTCAGTCTTGGATATTCTAAGTGCAGACGATGTTAGAAGTTAGGAATAAATCTTTCTAAAACATGAAGACAAATGTAAGTATCTAGGGAACATTTTGTTGTTAAACATTAGAAGTGAGAATTGTCAAGTATTAGGTATGCTTAATCCTAGTATGTGGCGTAGATACCTAGTCAGTAAGCAAGTGAATAGATGAACTTTTTGGGAGGTTGCTGCTTAGAAAGACTGAGCGTGCATAGGAATGGCTAAAGTGCAGTGACGTCGACTGCGCTAAAATTACATAACAACATAACATATAACAGAAAGTCGAATTGAGGTCCTAGGGGTGTGGCAATATGTCAATGGATAGATCAGGGGCACACAAACGGTCGTAAACACACAGACATAAGTCATAGACACACCCACGGTCATGGACACACCCACGGTCATGGACACATCCACGGTCATGGACACATCCACGGTCATGGACATACGCACGGTCATGGACACACCCACAGTCATGGACACACGAGCTGCCATGGACACATCCACGGTCATGGACACACGAGCTGCCATGGACACACCCACGGTCATGGACACACGAGCTGCCATAGACACATCCACGGTCATAGACACACGAGCTGCCATGGACACATCCACGGTCATAGAAACACCCACGGTCATGGACACACCCACGGTCATGGACACACGAGCTGCCATGGACACATCCACGGTCATGGAAACACCCACGGTCATGGACACACCCACGGTCATGGACACACCCACGGTCATGGACACACCCACGGTCATGGACACACCCACGGTCATGGACACACCCACGGTCATGGACACACGAGCTGCCATGGACACACCCACGGTCATGGACACACGAGCTGCCATAGACACATCCACGGTCATGGAAACATCCACGGTCATGGACACACCCACGGTCATGGAGACACGCACGGTCATGGACACACCCACGGTCATGGACACACAGACAGAAGTCATGGACACACCCACGGTCATGGACACACCCACGGTCATGGACACACCCACGGTCATGGAGACACGCACGGTCATGGACACACCCACGGTCATGGACACACAGACAGAAGTCATGGACACACCCACGGTCATGGACACACCCACGGTCATGGACACACCCACGGTCATAGACATACCCACGGTCATGGACATACCCACGGTCATGGACATACAAACGGTCATGGACACACCCACGGTCATGGACACACCCACGGTCATGGAGACACGCACGGTCATGGACACACCCACGGTCATGGACACACAGACAGAAGTCATGGACACACCCACGGTCATGGACACACCCACGGTCATGGACACACCCACGGTCATGGACACACCCACGGTCATGGACACACCCACGGTCATGGACACACCCACGGTCATGGACACACCCACGGTCATGGACACACCCACGGTCATGGACACACCCACGGTCATGGACATACCCACGGTCATGGACACACCCACGGTCATGGACACACCCACGGTCATGGACACACCCACGGTCATGGACACACCCACGGTCATGGACACACCCACGGTCATAGACATACCCACGGTCATGGACACACCCACGGTCATGGACACACCCACGGTCATAGACATACCCACGGTCATGGACATACAAACGGTGAAGTTGCATATTCCGAGCATATTAAAATACAACACTTCTTTAAAAGACCAGACTTAAGGGGACAGTTAAGGACACTTAACAAAATGTAGACAGCGAAGCAAGTGGTGAGATAACCATTAACAACCTTAGTCTGGGAGGCCACGGAAGAATACAGAGTTGGAAATTTGTTAAATAGACCTGACTCCTGGCTGACTTCAGGCAAGGCTCTTCATGTTTTCGACATACAACATAAACATTTAGCCAGTAAATGTTACAGTTTGATTAGTGAATTATGCTACAAGAGGATGCTGTCGTAAATAAGTGCCAATGAAAGCACGTAAATATCACTGGCAGAAACACGCGTAAATTGATCAGAGAAGCATTTATCATGGCCTGGGCGACTTCACATTAGTGCACCGAACTTGGTTACGTTTTGAGTATTCGCATCCAACCAATCAAAGAGTCACGGAGTTGCTTCTCTCTCTCTCTCTCTCTCTCTCTCTCTCTCTCTCTCTCTCTCTCTCTCTCTCTCTCTCTCTCTCTCTCTCTCTCTCTCTCTCTCTCTCTCTCTCTCTCTCGTCCCTCATTAATTCCCCCTCAGTTCTGTTTCACGGAAGGAAAAACGAGCGTTCTCCTTATCTCGTTAATTATCTGTTTTACCCAGCATCGTCTCCAACTTCTTGTAGTTGAGGTTTGGTGCTCATTTTGACTGCCTGCCTGTGTGTATCAGTGTTGTGTTTCAAAGTATCATCCCTATTGTTACATGTCTCAAGTTTGTGTTTTATTCACGTGTTTGTTTGCTGCCCTTGGTTCAAACCACTTCAGGAATCAGATGACGATTTTAGATAACTTTACTACCTAAAAATATTAATAATGGTAATAACAGCACGGTTTGATTAATTACATTACAGGTTTTGTGTTTTGTTTCGAATCCTCTGTTGTACAGTTTGTCGTATGATGTAAATCGAATAGGGCAGTCGAAATTACTGGGGTGGGGTGTAACTGTACCAGTCCTAAACGAATTGCTTTATTGGTGAAACAATGTTAACAAAGCCGCGCTCCAGATCGTTCACAATCACAAATAATATCTCAGTTTGTAGCCTTGTTTCGTTTAGTTAGTGCTTGCATCTGCTTTATTTATCCGGTCTTTCTGCTTATAAATAAGTTGCTTCGTCAGTTTAAACTGTCGTCTGGAAATTTGCATAAAATTAGAATAAAGTAATCAAAACTGTGAAGTTTAACGTGAGCTGATGTAGCAGATTATTTATTACAGATTATGCGCAATTTATTTCAGCTAATGCGCTATTTATTTCAGCTAATGCGCTATTTATTACAGCTAATACGCTATTTATTACAGCTAATGCAAATGCCTAAGATTGTTGCACCAAAAGAATGTTTTTTTTTTTTTCGCGAATTTCAAACAGTTTTTAAACTGACCCCCCCCCCCTCCCTTCCCCCTCCCCCTCCCAATTTGTTTGTTGGTTGCAAATACGAATTGGCGGTGAGTAGTTCACGAATGGCATCTAGGATAGCGTCCAGACACAACAGTATTTACTAGTTACACGAGGTCGTGTTCTTGTGGTTCCAGAGGCTTCTAGAAATAGACTTTTCGTTGCCAGCAAAGGGCAGTTATTTGGGCGGACCCCCAAGTTGTCATAGTTGTGTGCGCCGTCAATTTGGAGCACCTGTATCTTTCGTGAGACTGATTTATGTTTGAGAGAGATGAGAGATGGAAAAGGAGTTGAGAGGAGCAGGAAATAAGTGAGGGTGTGTGAGAGAGACTGGGGCAAAGAATGAAAGAAAGAGGATAGGACAGGAAATATGGATGTAGTAGTGTAAGGAGAGAGAGAGAGAGAGAGAGAGAGAGAGAGAGAGAGAGAGAGAGAGAGAGAGAGAGAGAGAGAGAGAGAGAGAGAGAGAGAGAGATACAGAAAGAGAGAGCATACGATTTGTTAGTTATTGTATATATATATATATATAAATGCGTTGGTAGTCCACACATTAATCTAAACCACATAAAGCATCTCAGTATACTTGGAAAAATGAACCGCTAACGGGGAAAAAAACAAGACGCTACGTGACCACTGGAAACCGTTGAGCTGGCCGATGAACTCTGATCAGAATCTGATCATTTAAGGAGTCTTTTGACATCCTCATTGTAGCGCAGACCGCCCACGGTATCAGGAAGCAAGCAGCTTCACTGGGAAACCAGTTTTGTCTGTTGCCTGGGTCGTCTATCTATACTTGCGTGACGCAGAGAGAGTTCCCTGCCACATAAGCCGCCATGAGCGCTGAGTTGCTTTCTCGCAGAGTTCCATGAAGGAAAGAAACTGTCGGAATGGTGTTAGATTCTGGATCATGATACTGATGATGATGATAATGATGATGATTGTTTAAGTAGCTTCTCCAGTGTTTGACGTAGGGCCGACATGCTTTTGTTTTTATTATAGTACAAACAATGGTGCATTCAACTCGAAAATGGTGGTCCAGTTCCCGAAGCTCTGCTGAAAATGATTGCCAGTGAAGAAGTTGCGATCAAGAGGCGACAGATGGCGCAGGTTACTCGATCTTTACTTCGACAACAGCAACAGAACTGCCAGTTTGCGTCGTCATCGTCGTCTTCTACATCGCCAGATCTGTCGTCTGTGTCCTCACAACGGGAATACCCACAGCCCCGTCACGTGAACTTAGTGCAGCCACAGACAATCTCTGATGTCTCCGTTCACGAGTCGCAAAGTCACCAGGCTGTGCCTGATCACTTGCCACCACAGCGTCACCAGCAGCTGCATCTGGAGCAACTGCTCATGTATGACCAGACTTCAGATATATCCAAGCTACAGAAACAGTTCGCGTTTGATCACTCGAAACTTCAAGAGCATCAACCGAAAGGAACGGCTCCAACTCTCAACCATCTGCTCCCAGCCCCGCTATCACAAGAACTAATGCAGGATGTCATATTTCAGCGTAGTCTATGCAGCAAGCAGCAACAGCAGCATACCTTTCTGCCTCCGAATGAGAATCAGCAACCGAACGCTACATTACCCTCTCACGGTGCTTACACCTCATCTTCCAATGACAATACTCCTAGAGCAGTCATGTCGTCCAAATGCCAGGAGTCAGTATTACCCCGGGTAAACAGCGAACCTCACATGAAACACGGGCATTCTTTCGACGTCTCCAGGATCTCTTCAGACACGCTAATGCATGACGCTGAACTGTGCAGTAACAGCGAACTTCATCGTAAAAGATCACACAGCAACCCTGTGACAATGGCTTCCGTTTCCCGCCCTAACATCACCAGTGCCGACGATCTACCGAGTCCTCTACAGGACTTCATTACCTCTCACAGTTCTTCATACCAGTCCACCAGTCAACCACATCTGGGTTTTGGACTGTTCAGTGGGTCTGTGATCAACAACAAACCAAGTTTTTTATCTTTCAACCTTCCAACGACAGTCGCTATGGAAGACAGCAGTTCTTCTGAGGACAGCATCAACGAGCAGCATTTATTTCAGTCGTCCATGAACACCCAAAAGCGAAAAGTGGCTTCCCCTTGCCTTCCAGAAAACGCCAAGAGGAGTTTCGTATCTCCCAACAACGTGGTACCCAAGTTTACAAACTTCGACCCAAATACAGGTCTTCCTAATCTGGACGATACCCATGGTTTCGGCTTGACAGCTGCATCAAGTACACCTTCGCCCTTATCTTATGGACACACTTCTTCAAATGCTACATCACCATCACGTAGCCCCAGATACAATAGTGGTCTATCAAATTCTACATCCTCATCGTGTGCTACAGCATCGCCTACACCATTATCTTCCTTGTCGTCCATGTTGGACTTATCGGTTTCCTCGCCCGCCATCTCTCCATCTACGTACAGCCTAGCTCTGGAAATTTCCCCTCCTTTACCTTCTGCAACAACCCACCAATCACCTGGCTCCATGAACACATCCTTGCTTGACCCGTTGCCTGATTGGTACTCGTTCCTTGCTGACCTTGAAGATGGAACTCCATCAGCCTTGACCCACCAGCAAGGTACATCTTCTAACGTTGCAGTGACCCTGACCTCAAAGCAGCATTCTCAATTATTCGCCTCCAACCAATCGTTTATGAACGTTCCGGATATTGTCAGTGAAATGTTAAACTGCAGTGACCAACTTTTGTGAATCCTTCATGAATTTATCAAATTAGAGCAACCCAGGACCAACTTTTGTGAATCCACTCATAAATCTGGAACATTTTAAGGACCAACCTGCGTGATTCATTTTACAGCCATTCTTGAAACTGGACCAGTGTAATAACTTGGTTAAACAGTTGTAGTTTCTGAGAGTTGCTCGGATGTATGTTGTCTTATTCACTGAAGAGACCACTGGTCATTGGTACATGAGTTTGATACACGCCATTTTGGTATGTTTGGTTGCATGTTGTTACTAGACATATTATGTTTCAAGTATACGATCAACTTATTAAATAAGACATTGTTAACAGCCACATATAGTAAAGTGTATCTTGTTAAATAGACAATTTATGTATGCTTTATCTGATTAAATAAACCATTTATGTATATTTTATCTCATTTATGTATATTTTATCTTATTAAATAGACCATTTATGTATATTTTAGCTTATTAAATAGACCATCCATATATGTGTCACCCTGTTGAATTGACCAATTATGTAGAAATATTATCTTGTCAGCTAGAAAAAGTATATACATTTATGTGTGTTAATAAATAGACACTTTAAAAAAAGATCACAAACTGTATAAATTATGTGTTCAGAAATAGAAAACAATCTTTCAGTTATTGTTGTTTTTAATGCATTTTTTTACAACATTACTGTACGGCGCGGGTCGCTTAAAATCATCACGAACAATCTATTACATGTTGCTAAATCCGTCTTGAATCACAAAGAATCTTTGTTAGAGTTTCGTTTTGTATGCGAGTTTCCAACAGACAGCGGAAAGAAGCCAGATTTGCACAAAACTGATCCTAGTAAATCCACCCACCTAAATCTGACCAATTCATTCTCAGTCAAGGGGAAGAAAATATAATTTTGACCAGGCCCAGAAGAAAAAAAAAAATTCGGGTTTCAGGTTTATTTTTTTCCATTATTCCCATCAGCTCAATTTTTAATTACTCGTTTTTGTTATCTTTTTTCCACAACTCTACTTGTTCAGTTTTTTTACAAGGTAACAAAAGTAGCAGTTTGAACTTAAGTGTCATGAAATTGACCCAAGATGGCAAGAATCCACAACAAGGAAGGCCACCTGGTTTTTGTTGTTGTTGTTGTTGTTGTTGTTGTTGTTGTTGTTGTTGTTGAGACAGTCCATCGTGGGACAATGTGAATAAATGAGCAGAAATAATCTTCGACGGACAGTATTAGAATCCTTATCTTTTCGGACTACTGGGTCGACCCAGGCTAGAAAAGTTTTGGGAAGTACAGGGGCCAGAGTTCCGTGGACCGTATCATTCATCGAGAACCGATTGGATTCAAATACGGCCACCACCATGAATCCAAGACACGTATTTTTGGTTAATTGTGAGAAAGAAATTCCGCCCCTGTTTTTAGTTAGCTGTGAGGTGGTCTTCGAAGAAAGTCCCCCTGTTTTTAGTTAGCTGTGAGGTGGTCCTCGAAGAAAGTCCCCTTGTTTTTTGATTAGCTGTGAGGTGGTCCTCGAAGAAAGTCCCCCTGTTTTTGATTAGCTGTGAGGTGGTCCTCGAAGAAAGTCCCCCTGTTTTTGATTAGCTGTGAGGTGGTCCTCATAGAAAGTCCCCCTGTTTTTGATTAGCTGTGAGGTGGTCCTCGAAGAAAGTCCCCCTGTTTTTGATCAGCTGTTAAATGGTTCTTTGAAAAAAGTCCCCCTGTTTTAGGTTATCTGTGAGGTGCTCCTCCAAGAAAGTCCCTCTGTTTTTGATTAGCTGTGATGTGGACTTCTAAGAATGTTTCCCTGTTTTTGATTATCTGTGAGGTGGTCAAGATGTTGAAGAATGCTGGTCTTTGTGATTGTGGCTAAGTGGCTCTAAATACACATGTAAGGAAAGTCACTGAATATGTTATCTGCGATTTTTTGGATGTAAATTGTCTACATTTCAGGCTGTGATCCTTGTGTGTTTCAAGTTTTTTATATGTACATGTACACTAATGAAAGTGTATATCTGAGGCCATGAAATTGTACAACTGAACTTGTTTGCAGTATTATTTTACCCATTGACAGTTTTTGTACATATTTTTAAAATGAAATGTTATATAGTTTTTCATATATTTTAAATTGTATACCTTTTGTTTTCTAAATACTGAACTGTATTAGTAGAATTATTTTGTCCAACGATTACTTGTGCCCTTTATTCTGTGTCTGGATATTTTTGGCGGTTTGTGATGTGGTATTAGCATGATCATTCTAGCGTTCGTGTGTGTGTTTTGAAACAATACTGTTGTTTGTTCACACTCGATTTTCTACCTCTCAAAACACTTGCCAAGGCTGTGTGTCATTGACCTGCACCTAGTACTACAGCGGTATTTGCTTTAGACATGACCACTGTGTCCCAGATACCACAGGAAAAACTCCGATCTGACTGCGCTTTATCGCTTCTGGTTTGAATAGGATGATCAGTGGATAGTCTGATTGTATGATCGTAAATATCAAATGACAGCCACAAGAGTGCATAGTCATGATCGCCAATCCTGCCGCAGACCAATGACAAGAAACAAATTGTTAGCATTAGAGCATCCGGGTTTGTACATTTGGTAGTTGTTAGTATTAGGGTATTGTGATAGAGCTCTTCTGTATTATAAAAACCCAAAAGTGCTAGAGTATAATCGGTGCTGACTTTTTAGCCAACCACAAAGGACGTCATGGGACAGTCCACTATTTTAGAGGGTGGTAACAGCGGTTTTTCCGTGTTTTCTGTGCTTCAGCCTGTTTCTTCTAAGGCCGAGGTTTTTCTTGCAATAACCTAACCCTAATTTTAACCCTTACCAAAACTATACGTTAAATCTACCAACCCCTGCAATATGTGACTGTCATGTGACCTGGGGATTTCCCTGGTTTGTGGCCGGCTAATAAAAGGGTACCGTAAAATCGGTATAGGTGCCTTTAGGCTTTCATTGATATATATATAGGTGTAGGTTTAGGTAATATTAGGATGTCCCGGATTCCATTTCGACAGAAGCCTTGACCTCTACGAGAGTCGCCGTGGCCGAGCGGTTAGACGCTCGCCGCTGATCGGAAGGTCGTGAGTTCGCGCCCTGGCGGAGCCGGACTTTTTTCAAAAATGACCTTGGCTCCCAGGTCGACCCAGCCTTGAGTGGGTACCGGGTGCAATCCCGGGAAGTATATACCAACGCCCGACTTCTTCGCGCTCACCAGCTGTAAACTTCTTGTTGTTGGAGTACTTTTGGGCTCCAGTTTGATTGCAGAACTCGAGTATTTTGTGCACATCCGTTTTACAGATCAGTTTATTAATGTGCAGATTGTTCCTTTCCTATACAAACACTGCTTTAATGAAAAGGAATGCAAAGCCATCAAACATACTCTGTGTCCCCGCATATTCCCCCTTCAACTTTCATCTTCCTCATGAGGTTCGCTAGTTTTCGACCACTTCAAAGTAGGATTTCGAATTGTGAGTGTTACAGCCGCGGGGTTCGAACCCCAAAGATATACGGACTAGCAGGGATACGTTATCTTTTTTCACAGACTCCCCTAAAACAGAAATACATACAATGTATCGACAGAGCAGACAGTCTAGATTTGCGCAGTACGTGTCGTTCACAATTTCCACTAACAAGTAATTTATTTAAAATAATTTTGAGATTTAAATAACAAAATAAATTTTGCAAGTTATCATGATTTAATTATTACTGACAGGAACAAAATAATTATATTGTGCTCGACTACCGTCAAACATTATTGGTTTTAATTTGCATTGTGTTTCTGCCTATAATGAATGTCCTTGGGGACGCTTCATACTTTAAGAATTCGAACTCTGTAGGTGTAAAAGTACAGTTGATCTCTGCTCATTGGGCTTCAGTGAAGATCTTTAGAGTTATCTATTTTGTGTTTGTTTTTAAATATTGTTCATTGTTGAATTCTTACTGAAATCATAAAGGACATAGCAAGAACTGTCTTTAGCAAGATGGGGAAATTGGTGACTGCTAGAGAGAGAAACAACAAACTGACACTGTCTGTTGTCAGATGTTAACCTGACACTGTCTGTTGTCAGATGTCAACCTGACACTGTCTGTTGTCAGATGTTAACCTGACACTGTCTGTTGTCAGATGTTAACCTGACACTGTCTGTTGTCAGATGTTAACCTGACACTGTCTGTTGTCAGATGTCAACCTGACACTGTCTGTTGTCAGATGTTAACCTGACACTGTCTGTTGTCAGATGTTAACCTGACACTGTCTGTTGTCAGATGTTAACCTGACACTGTCTGTTGTCAGATGTTAACCTGACACTGTCTGTTGTCAGATGTTAACCTGACACTGTCTGTTGTCAGATGTTAACCTGACACTGTCTGTTGTCAGATGTTAACCTGACACTGTCTGTTGTCAGATGTTAACCTGACACTGTCTGTTGTCAGATGTCAACCACACATCTAGTTCTGACTGCTCAATGGAAAATGATCATAGCATCAAACTGGTCTATGAAATATGGTCCTGTCATCAAACTGGTCTATGAAATATGGTCCTGTCATCAAATCGGTCTTTAAATAGGCATCAAATGAGTCTATAAAATATATTATTCTGACTTCAAATTAGTATTTAAATGGGCATCGAATGGGTCTTTAATATATGACCCTGGCATCAAATTGTTCTGTCAGTTAGCATCAGATTGGCCCCGTACAATGATACCAGATATCCAGAAGCCCGCGTGACGTTAGTAGATAGGCTATGACTCACATATTCAAGTATTATTGTTCTGTTTCCTTGTTTTACCCACATTTTTATATTTGTGTGTAAATTGTTATTTTTACATTTAAAAAATGTTAGATTTTGAAAATGTGTTCACTTATACAATCTGTTGTTACAAATGTTATTAAATATATTGAATCATAAATGGCACCGAATTTTGTATGTCTTCTCACTTGATTTTTACATTATGCTTTGCTTTTGCTCAGTAACTTTTGTTAACGTTATTTCCATCTTCAAATGAATCTCAAA